CGCAAGGCGCTCCGTCCCGTGACGGGAGCCCGTATCACACCCCCCTATTTCATTCGTCGGCCCACTCCCGTGGAAGCGGCCGAGCGCCTCGAACACAGCCGCCGCAGGGGCGCCCGCGCGCACGGCCACCGCCGCCGCACCGAGCGCGTTCCGGACGTTGAAGCGGCCCAGCAGCGGCAAGGCCACCCCGCCGACGGGGCGGCCCCGATGGGTTACGTCAAAGGTGGTCGCACGCCTCCCGTGCCGCCCTCTCCGCCCCGCCAGTCCGCCCCGGCGGCGAAGCCGAACGTCTCGACCGGGCAGGGCGGCCGTCCTGCCTGAGCGCAAGGACCGCACTCTTCGTCGTCTGCGGACAGCAGCAGCAGCCCGCGCCTGGGGACGAGGCGCACCAGCCGCTCGAAGGCAAGCCGGAGCTCATCCAGATCGCGATAGATATCCGCGTGATCGAACTCTATGCCGTTGATGACGACGATATCCGGCACGTATTTGAGGAACTTCGCCGTCTTGTCGCAGAACGCGCTGTCGTACTCGTCGCCCTCGATCACGAACGGCCCGCCGCCCACTCGTCCGCTCGTCTGCAGATCCTTCGATACCTACACCAACCCCGGCCCACCATAATCCCGCGTCGACGCCCGCCTCGTTCAAAGCCCAGGCCGTCATGAACGAGGTGGTCGTCTTACCGTGCGTCCCGGCCACGACGATCGGCCGCCGCTCCCTGAGGAACGTGTCGCGCACCAGCTCCGGCAGCGAACAGTAGCGCAGGCGCCGATCGAGGACCGCCTCGACTTCCGGGTTGCCGCGCGACACGGCGTTTCCTACGACCACCATAACTCCAGTCGCCGGTGGATGTCGTTCCCTCCTTTCCCCCTCGAGAGGCAAATTCGCGCGCGCCAGCAGGGTCGCTCATAGGCGGATACGCGTGCGCGTCTGAGCCGCCCGACCCTCCGGCCGATATATCCTTCAGCATCACGGCCGCTGTCGCCATTGCCGTGCCGCAGATGCCGATCAGGTGGATCTTTTCCGAGGACGTGCGGGCCTCCTCGATGATCAGGCCGGAACTCGCTTCCGCATCCACCGTCGCCGTCACCCCCAGCGGCAGCGTCAGCGCGGGACCGCTCGTGTGGCCCGACGGAAACCCGAACAGCACCGGACCGGGAAGTCGGCCAGGAGTTCCGCGCAGACGGACCGGGCATCGCGCCCGGTCTCATCGCCGCAGCCGGGAAACTCCGCACACACGACGGCCGACGCCGCGCCGAGCAGTCCGGACTGCCGCAGCTGCGTCAACATCCGATCGATGCGGTACGGACGCTCGCCGACATCGTCGATGAACAGGACGTACCCGTCCGGAGGCGCAAACGCAAACGGCGTCGCCAGCGATGCCAACAGCAGCGTGAGCGTTGCCGCCGCCAAGAAATACGCCGCGAGCCGTGCCGCGCCGGATCACCTCGACGCCAGGCGGGCGGAGCGCTCCGAGCGGCTCGGGAACCGACAGGCATCCCAGGAGCGATGGTCCGTCGTACCCCTCAGCACCCCGCGCCAGACTCACCAGCATCGGGCCATGGAAGCTGACGACGCCGCAACCGGTTGTCAGGTAGCCGAGCAACGCCGTCAGATCGCTGCAACCCAGCACCGGCTTCGCCGTCCGCCGCAGCCCGGCAACATCCAGCAACGGCAGGAGTTGCGCGCTTCCATAGCGCCTCGCACGGCGACGATACCGGCAATGTCGGGGTCCTCCCAGGCTTGCTGGAACGCCGCGGCGCGCTGCGCTGCCGGACCGGCGAGGTAACCGGTGGCGGCCAGCGCGCGCTCGTCGAATACCGCTCGAATAATCCGAATGTCGCGCATTCCTCGCGGCCTCTCCGTTCGAAACCTCCTGCCGATGGATCGCCGGCGCCAGCAAGCACGGCCACCCGTCGCCGCTGCGGAGCGCCTGCGGCCGGCGCAGGGACTCTCCATGAGAGGAAACCCTCCTTCGCGGCGCCAAAAAAGCGCGGCGTGCTCCGCAGACTCCCCCCACCGCGCGCACTCTCCCGCGGGCCGTCTGTCTTCCGCCATTTTCCGTCTCCTTTCAGGAGCGGGTCTTCCTTACCTCTCCTGCCGCGCCAGCGCCTGCTCACACGCGCGCGCGCCACCCGCCCGTCCTCGACAGCGTGTTCACAGCGCCTCGCACCGCTGGCCAGCACTGCCGGTCCTTGCGGTGCCGCAGAGCAGCACCACATCGCAAAACCGGCGGCATCTCCCGTACCGCCGCATCCTCAATGGCGCCTTGCCGGGTGATCGCCCGCCCCATCTCATCCAGATCGTCGGTCAGCCACGGATGCCGTCGAACTCAAAATCTCGGCGCAACAGGCTGACTATTCCGCGGCGAAGCGTGGCGGGGCGTTGCTCATCGAGCGCCGGATACAGGACGTGCGCCGTCATGATCGCCGCCACGCCGCACGCCACGGCGGCGCGGAAAGGCTCCAGCTCCACGGCCCGCAGGCGCTCCGGCGCGTGCGGTCTGACCTGGCAGCCTTCACGGGAGTCCACGCCGCCGCGTCACCATGCCCGGGGTAATGCTTGCCGCACGCCGCCACGCCGCCCGCCTGCAGGCCGTCGATGACCGACGCGCCCAGACGGGCAGTCTGTGCGGGCTCCGCCGAAAGCGCCCGGTCCCCGATCACCGGACTGTTCGGATTCGTTGCTCCGACGTCCAGCACGTCGCGTTAGTCGAGCGTCACGCCGACCGCACGCAACTCACGCGCCATCGCACGGGCGAAGCGGGTCGCCAGCTTCTCGTCGCCGCTGTTGCCCAGCGCACGCATCGCCGGCCAGCGGGTGAACGGCGCCCCGAGGCGGGCAACGCGTCCGCCCTCCTGGTCAATGCTCACCCACGGCGGCGACGTCCGCGACAAGGCGCACGCCGCGATGCCATCTCGTGACCACCTGTTTCCGGCGCCTCGCGTTTCCAGCGCGAACATGTGACGCCCGGCCCAGGTCCACGTCCGCGGAGCCCAGCGCCCGCAACTCGACCGGAATCGTAGTGCCCGCAAAGCCCGCCTACGGCCAGCCGGCCGATAGTCCGGCGCAGCTGTTGCGACATCAACGGCGGGTGGGCGACGGGCAGCGCGCCACGGGGAAGGAGGACACGGCAGTCGGCTCATTATAATGCGCCCGTGCGCATCCGCTCGTCCGCCCCGACACGCCTCGATCTGGCCGGCGGGACGCTCGACATCTGGCCGCTCTACCTCTTCCACGAAGGCGCCCGGACCATCAACGCCGCCATCACCGTGCGGGCGGAGTGCGAGCTCTCGGACGAGGGAGTCGACGGCATCCATGTCACTTCCGTGGACACCGGCGCCGTGCTGCGGGCGCCGAACGCGTCCACCCTCACGGCGCGATCAGCCGCCTGGCCTCGTCGCTCAGGCTGCTGCGCCATTTCCAGGTCCGAAAACCGTTGTCGGTGATCACCCGCTCGCAGTCCCCGGTCGGCGCCGGACTGGCGGGCTCGTCGGCGCTCAACATCGCGCTCTGCGGCGCACTCGCGGTCTGGCTCGACACCGCGCAGTATGCGCCCGAGGAACTGATCGCGCTGGCGCTGAACCTCGAAGCCCAGGTGATTCGCGCCCCTACCGGTGGCCAGGACTACCGTCCCGCGATGTACGGCGGCATCGCCAGCCTGGACATGGGCCCCGACGGGATCCGCCGCCGCCCCTTGCGAATTGCCGCCGGTGAGCTGGGCGAGCGGATCGTCGTGGCCTATACCGGCGACGCCCACAACTCCGGCGTCAACAACTGGGAGATCACGAAGCGCCACCTCGACGGCAACCGGCAGGTCGTCGCTGCGCTGGGGCGCATATGCGAAATCGCCGCGGCGATGGAGCGGGCGCTCGAGCGGCACGACCAGGTTCCCGGGACTGGCCGGCGGTGGGACGTCATCTTTTTCCTTCCGCGGATGGGCGGTGGAGGAAGAGTCCTTTTGCCTCCGAATGTCACCACGCCGGCCATCGACACGCTGATCGCCAGGGGGCTGGCGGCCGGAGCCAAGCGGCGCCAAGGTGTGCGGGGCCGGCGGCGGAGGCTGCATCCTGCTGCTTGTCGAGCCGCGGAATGTCGGGGCCGTGCGCGAATCGCTGGCAGCCGGCGGCGCACGGCTGCTCGATGCCGCCATCGACACGGAAGGCCTGCGCGTGCAGCGCATCTAGCAAGCCTGTGGTGAACCCCGCGTCTCCGAGAACGGCGAGGCGCGGCGTCTGACAGGCGCAGAGACGAGCATATTCCCAATAATGTGACGCCGAGGAACAACACAGTCAGGAAGGGGACGACCAGCACTCAAGCATGCCATCCCCCCCAAGCGCCCGCAGTGGTAATGCCGCATCAAGCCGGTCGATCAAGCGGGGCTTTTTCGCCACAGGCTGCCACGCAGGCCAAGCGATGGCTCGGGTTTCAACCTCCTCCCAAGCGGCGCGCAACGCATCGCGGCCCAAAATCTCGACAGCGAACCCGCTGCTGGGGCGGAGTCCGGCGATAACCTGTGGCTAACAGCCCGTGTCCTGCCATGCCGCGGCGCAACTCGCGGGGCCAACTCCGTATGCGCGCTTGCGTGACGCCGCACGATTTTGGCCAGCACCAGACACGGGCAGCGCCGCGGCACCCCGCTGACAACCCGCGACGCCGCCGCGCCGAAGCGGACCCCTGCCCGGGCTCTCGATCGCCGATCGCGAGGACCGTCCCGAGGAGGCACGTAGTCGAGCCGCGACAGCCGTGCCGTCACCGCGCTGCCCGTCGTCGAGGCAGAATGGACCTGCCGACGATCCAGTCGGCGCCGACGTGCTCTCGCAAACGCGTTCGCCGCGGCGCGGAGCTGCACTTGAGCATGGACGCCGTCGTGCGCGCGTAGCGCAGCCGCGACTAGTCGACGCGGTCGTTGCCGAGATGCGCGCCGGCAGTTCGCGGACCACGCGTCAACGGCGCGTCGGCCACCGAGGGTCGCCGAGCGTCCGGTCGGTCAGGCCCGCCTCCCGGATCTGCACCCGATCGAAGTACTCCCCGCCGCCGCGCGGCCTGACGGAATGAGCTCAGGGTCGGCCCGAGGTCGTCGGTCGCGCCGCCAGCCGCAGCCGCGGTCGGTGACGAGACACAGCACGGGCCGTCTAGCCGGAAAGCGATTACTGCCCGACCCGTCACCGAGATGGCACTTGCGTGAGGTACCCGCCACGCATGTCTGGCGACAGCGTCCTCGAGCGGGCACGGCGGCCGTCAGCAGCCCGAACTCGCGCTGCGCCGCACGCCGCATCCGCGCGCGCTGGATGGTGGCGGCGAGTTCGGCCAGCGCCGCGACGAGACTGACGACTCCGACGCCGGCGCTCGCGCCCCGCACGGCGTGGCTGGTCAGCAGCGGCTGCAGGAGGGCAGCGCTCGACGAAGTAAGTTCCCGATCCAGTAGGTCGTCCAGGGCGCGACGATCAATACGAGTCCGACCTCGGCAAAGTAGACGACCAGCAGGCCGTCAATGAGTCGTGAACGCAATTTTTTACATGGGGCTGCGCCCCAAACCCCCGGGCAGGCGCTACGCGGGGAACCCACTTTGCCACCGCGCCACGCCTGCAGGCGGCGCGCCGTGCCGCGGCCGGAGGACAGCCGCCACAGTGCTTGTTGTCCCCTCACCTCTCTGGGCAGCTACGTCATCCTACCAGACGACGAAAACGGCCGGAACGAGCGAACCGGTGAGTCCGGCGAGCCGCCGAACCGCTCGATCGCCGCCAGGTGCCGCGCTGGCGCGTATCCCTTGTGGCGGTCTCGAACCGTAGCGCGGGCGGGTCTGCCTGGTGCAGCCGGCGCCGCATCGTGCTGATCGCGGTCACCTTCGCGACGATCGATGCCGCGGCAATGACCGCGCAACGCCGGTCCCCCTTCACGACGGCCCGCTGTGGAAGGCAAGACCGGTGCAACGGGACGCGTCGACCAGCACGAAGTCGGGCGCCGGCGCGAGTCGGGTCACCGCGGCCAGCATGGCTCTCAGCGCGGCGTAATGGATGTTGATGCGATCGATCTCGCCGGCCTCGACGCGGGCCAACGACCAGCCGGCGGCGCAGCTGACAATCTCGTCATACAGCCGCTCTCGCGCGGCCGGGGTCAGGAGCTTCGAGTCGCGCAGCCCGCGAATGTGGGCGCTCGGGGTCGAGGACGACGGCGGCGGCCACGACCGGTCCGGCCAGACAGCCCCGGCCCACCTCGTCCACGCCGGCCACGTGGCGGTACCCGAGACGGCGGATGGCGTTTTCGAGTGTGCGCCGCGCCGACGGCCGAGGCATCGGGTCGACCGGATGTACCGCTAAGTGCGGCGGCGGCGCTCCCGCATCCGGGCAGCCTTGCCGCGCAGCTTCCGCAGGAAGTACAGCTTGGCCCGCCGCACGCGCGCCGACCGCACGACCTGGATCTTGTCGATGATCGGGGAATGCAACGGGAAAATCCGTTCGACGCCCTGGCCGAACGACACCTTGCGAACGGTGAACGTCGCGCGGGCGCCGCCGCGGTGCTGCGCGATTACCAACCCCTCGAATACCTGAATGCGCTCCTTCTCACCCTCGCGCACCTTGACGTGCACGCGCACGGTGTCGCCGGACCGCATCGTCGGCCGCGCCTGCAATTGGGGACGCTCAACTGCCTCAATCGCCTTCATGCCCTTGCCTTTCGCCTCTCATCCAATCCTCGCAGGTCGCGGAGGATCTCCCGTTCTTCGTCGTCCAACACGCTCTGCTCCAACAGCTCGGGCCGCCGCTCGAGCGTGCGCCGCACGGCGGAACGCTTCCGCCAGCGCCGGATCTCCGCATGATTGCCGGAAATCAATACGTCCGGCACCCGCCAGCCGTCGAGCTCGGCCGGAGCGTGTAGTGCGGCCAGTCGAGCAGGTTGCGCACGAACGAATCGCGCCGGACCGACTCGGCGTCGCCCACGACGCCCGGCAGGTGCCGTGCGACCGCTTCCACGACGACCATTGCCGGCAACTCGCCGCCACTCACCACGTAATCACCGATCGACAGCTCCTCGGTCGCCACCTGCTCGCGCACCCGCTCGTCGATACCCTCGTACCGGCCACACAGCAACACGATGTGCTTCAGGCGGCTCAACCGCACCGCCACGTCGTGCGTCAGAACCGTCCCCTGCGGGGACGTCAGCACGACAGCGTCCGGCACTCCGCGCTGCTCCCGTAGATGCCTTACCGCCCGCACGAACGGCTCCGGCTTCATCACCATGCCGGGGCCGCCGCCGTACGGGACATCGTCGACCGTGCCGCGCCGATCCGCCGCAAACCGGCGCAGATCGTGCACGGCCAGATCGAGAATGCCGCGCTCCGCCGCCCGCGCGATCACGCCCTCCGCGAGGAACGCACCGACCATGCGCGGGAAGATCGTGACGATATCGAACTTCACGGCGCGCCACCGGTCACCGACGGCGGTTCAACTCCAGCAACCTTCCGGTGGATCGACCACGATCACGCGGCGTTCAGGATCCACCTGGACGCAGATTGAATCGGCCAACGGCACGTCGATCTTCGCCAGTCAAGCCGTCCGGATCGCCCGCCCGCCGAACGAGCACACCGGTGCGCTCCCGGCGAGCCGCTGACCTCCGTCACAATCCCGACTCCACGACACCCTCGACGGTCCGAACCGCACAGCCGCTCAACGCATGATGATAGAAACCCCGGCGGCAACCGCGGCAGTTCGCTCTCCGGAACCCGCAACTCGAGCCCGGCCAGTGCCTCCGCCGCTCCATCGTCTCCACGCCGTCCAATGTCAACACCGGACGGCCGCGGTGGAAGCGGGCCGCCACGATCTCCAGCCGCAGCGGCCGTCCGTCCGCCGCCGCGTGCAGTTGCTGCCCGGCCGGAAGCGGCGCTCCGGAAAGTCGGTTTCAACGTTGACGATTACCTGGCCCCGGTTGCCGTGCGCACGTGCTATGCGTCCGACGACGATCATTTCGTCCCAGCGCGTCGATTCCGCATCATTCGGCGGCATCGAGGAACTCGACGTGGGCGTGCATGCCGTCGAGCTGGCGCGGCATCTGCAAGCGCCCGCACGGCGGCCGCCGTACGCCCCTGCCGGCCAATCAGCTTTCCCAGATCACCGTCGGCGGTGGTCAGTGTGACGCGCGTCCCGTCCCGCCGCTCGGCTCTGCGACGACAACCTCCTCGGGATGCTCCACGAGCGCGCGCGCCACAACCTCGACGACGTCGCGCGCCGCGGCTCACGACGCCTCCACCTCCGGCGCGGTCCCGTCGCATGCCTCAGGCTCACTCGTGGCGGGCGCCTCGGCGGCGGCCGGCGGCTCTGTAGCGGCCGGCGATTCTTCGGACAGTCGCGCTCGGCCGTGGCCGCCGCCTCTGCGGTCGGCGGCGGCTCGGCGGCGGGCGGCGCCTCCACGGCAGCGGCATCCGCATTGTCTACGGCCGCTTCCGGATGCCGCGCCACCAGCGTCCGCACCGTGTCGGTCAACTGCGCGCCACGATCCAGCCAATGCTGCAGACGCTGGCGATCAAGCTCAATCGTCTCCGGCTCCGACGTCGGGTTGTAGTGCCCGATGACCTCCATTGCGGCCCCGTCAGGGGCCGAGCGCGCCTCGGTGACGACCAGCCGGAAGCGTGGCTTCTTCTGGCCCCTACCCTTCGCATTCGAATCGTGAGCATGCGTGTCCTACCTCTCAGAGCTGAATTGGACGGTCAACGTCAAGGAGCCCGTGGCAAAAGCCCCGCTGCATTCGACCGGCGATGCATCCCGCCTGATCTGCGTTGCTCGTCGGTCACATATGCCCAATATGTTCCCTCCTCGCGCCTTGTACCGGCCGGACGCGGCATTGATACGGGCGGGTCTCGGTGTGCGACGCGCGGTTTCACCACGGGCTCCTAGCTGCGAGCGCTCCCGGAATCCGCAGCCGCTGCCGGAGGCGCCGGGCCTGCGACCCGCGTGCGCCCGCTCCGGATTGCATGTTCTTGAGCACCCGCCGCATCTGGTGAACTGCTTGAGCAGGCGGTTGACTTCTTCCACGAGGTCCCGCTGCCCCGGGCAACCCGTTTGCGCCGGCTGCCATTCATGATTCCCGGCTTGCGGCGCTCCTCGCGTGTCATCGAGTCGATTACGGCCGCCACGCGCGTCAACCGCTTCGGATCGATCTGCGCACCGCCGCCGCCCAGCGCGCCCATCCCCGGAATGAGACCCACCAGTTGATCGAGCGGGCCCATCCGGCTGATTACGGTCATCTGCTGGCGCATGTCCTCGAGCGTGAATTGATCCCGCAGCGTGCGCCGCTCGACCTGCTGCGCCTGCTGCTCGGCAGCCGCCTGCTCCGCCCGATCGACCAGCGTCAGGATGTCGCCCATCCCGAGCATGCGCGACACCATGCGGTCCGGTCGGAACGGCTCGAGGTCCTCGAGCCGTTCGCCGCCGCCGCTGAAGACGATCGGCACGCCCACCACCGCCACGACGGACAGCGCCGCGCCGCCGCGCGCGTCGCCGTCCATCTTGGTAAGGACGATACCGGTGACCCCGGCGCGGCGATGGAACTCGCCAGCGCTCTTGACGGCATCCTGGCCGGTCATCGCATCCGCGACGTACAGGCGATCCGTGGGATCGACCGCAGCGGAAATCTCTTCCAGCTCCGACATCAACTCGTCGTCGATGTGCAGACGGCCGGCGGTGTCGACGATCACGGTGTCGAATCCGTCCGCCCGGGCCTGCTCGATGGCCGAGCGCGCGCGGCCCGCGGCCGACTGCCGATCCTGCGGATCGTGCACCGCCAGCCCGGCCTGACGGCCCAGCACGGCCAACTGCTCGATCGCCGCGGGACGCCGTATATCGACCGACACCAGCAGCGGCCGCCGGCCCTGCCGTCGCAGCCAGTGCGCGATCTTCGCGGCGGTCGTCGTCTTGCCCGAGCCCTGGAGGCCGACCAGCAGCACCACCCGCGGGCGGCGGCCGGCGACACCGAAACCAGCCGGCTGCTTGCCGAACAGCGCCAGCAACTCGTCCCTGACGATGCCGACGACCTGCTGGGCCGGCGTCAGGCTGTCGAGCACCGCGCGATCGATCGCGCGGTCTCTTACGCGCGCGACGAACGCCTTGACCACCTTGAAGTTGACATCCGCCTCCAGCAGCGCCAGACGAATCTCGCGCAGCGCCGTCTCGACCGCCGCGGGCGTCAGCCGCACCTCGCCGCGGATGCCTGCAAAAATGTCGCGGAAACGGCCGCCGAGAACGTCGAACATGTCAGGAACCGGTAAGGAAGATAGCCTCTAAGCGCTTGAAAAACAGCCGCTTATCATAGACCCACCAGGGGCCTGGGTGTCAATGCGCGGCGGGTGGCGGTAGTGGCCGGCTCGTCAGACCGAAGAGAGCTTGTGGCCCAGCTTTTCCTTCTTCGTCTTGAGGTAGTCCCGGGCGAACGCCGGCGCTGACACTTCGAGGGGGAGGGTCTTTGCAACCGACAGCCCGTACCCCTCCAGGCCGATGAACTTGCGCGGGTTGTTGGTGAGCAGGCGCATCGTGTGCACCCCGAGATCGCCGAGTATCTGCGCGCCGATGCCGTAGTCGCGCTGGTCCGGCTTGAAGCCCAGCGCTCGTTGCCTCGACGGTGTCCAGACCCTGATCCTGCAGCTCATAGGCGCGTATCTTGTTGCCGAGGCCGATGCCGCGACCTTCCTGGTTCAGGTACAGCAACACGCCGCGCCCTTCGGCCGCTATCTGCTGCATCGCCGCGTCGAGCTGCCGCCCGCAGTCGCAGCGCGTCGAGCGAAACACCTCGCCTGTCAGGCACCGCGAGTGGACGCGGACCAGAATGTCCCGCCCATCGCCGACGTCGCCGCGGACCAGGGCGATGTGCGTGCGGCCGTCGATCACGCTCTCGAAGGCATGTGCCCTAAAAGCGCCATGGTCCGTAGGCATGTTCGCGGACGCAACCGGCTTCACGAGGCGGTCATTGCGCATGCGGTACTTGATCAGATCCGCGATGGTGATCATCAGGAGCCGATGCCGCTTCGCGAATCGCGACAGCTCCTTGACGCGGGCCATCGTGCCGTCGTCGTTCATGATTTCGCAGATCACGCCGGCGGAATACAAACCGGCCAGACGCGCGAGATCTACCGCAGCCTCCGTTTGCCCGGCACGGACGAGCACGCCGCCGCGTCTGGCGCGCAACGGGAACATGTGGCCCGGTTGCGCCAGGTCGGCCGGCCGCGTGGCCGGGTCGATCGCCACGCGCACCGTTGCAGCGCGGTCCGCGGCCGAAATACCGGTACTGGTCGCGTCCCGCGCCTCTATGGACACCGCGAAAGCGGTTTCGAACCGCGAGGTGTTCTCGCGGACCATCATCGGGATGTGCAGCTCGTCGAGCCGCTCTCCGGTCATGGGCATGCAGATCAGGCCGCGGCCGAAGCGCGCCATGAAGTTGATCGCCTCGGGCGTGACCCGTTCCGCGGCGATCGTCAGGTCGCCCTCGTTCTCGCGGTCCTCGTCGTCCACGACGATGACCATCTCGCCCTTGCGAATCGCCTCGACGGCCTGGTCGACCGGTGCGAACAGCCCCGGTGTGCGCGCCACGGGCCGGGGTCCGGGCGGATTTTCCCGATCAGTCTTCGGCTCTGCCGTCAATGCTCCCCTCCAGGACCGGACCCCGCCGGCCCGTCCGCCACCGCGTTGCGTGTCGCTTCCGCCGCATTGAGCACGTACTTGCCGATGATATCGCACTCGAGATTCACCGCGTCGCCCACCCTGGCTGACCGGAAACGCGTGTGATCCCAGGTGTAGGGCACGATCTGAACATCGAACCGATGCACGTCGAGCGCCGCCACCGTGAGACTGATGCCGTCAACGGCAATCGAGCCCTTCGGTACGATTAACGGCTTCAGCGCCGGCGGGTGTTCGAAACCGAGCCGGCGATACTCCGCCTCTTCGCGGATTTCCGTCACGCGTCCCGTGGCGTCCACGTGACCCAGCACGAAATGCCCCCCGATGCGCCCGTCGGCGCGCAGCGGACGTTCGAGATTGACGAGCATCCCCTCGGCCACTGCACCCAACGTCGTCACGCGTGCGGTCTCGGGTGAGACGTCAGCCGTAAACGCCTCGTCGTCCGTCTCGACGGCGGTCAGACAGACGCCGTTTACCGCAATGCTGTCACCGGCGGCCAACTCCGCGGCCAGCCGGCAGCGTACCCGCAGGCCGAGTCCCGCCGGCGTTCGCGTCGCCAGGGCGACCGTCCCGACCGCCTCAATCAGGCCGCTGAACATACCCCTCCATCAACAGGTCCGGGCCCAGCTGCCGGATGCGCGCATCCGCGAGTCTGGCAATTGACAGCCCGTCGTCCACCCAGGACACACCGCGCGGTCCGAGGCAGACCGGCGCGATGTAGCGCTGGACGCGGTCGACGACGCCCGCCGCCCACGCCGCCCGATGCACCGCAGTGCCGCCCTCGAGCAGCAGGGACGTGATCTCCAGCGTGCCCAACCGCTGCATGATCTCCGGCATGGCGCCCGTCTCCAGCGCCTCGAGCGTCGCGCCGGCGGCGCGCAGGCGATCCACCGCCGGTTGCTTCGCGCGCAGCGCCGCCGCGGTCGTCATGACGACGACCGGACCGGCCTCCAGCGTCTGGAATACTCCTCGCGGTGGGCGGCGTGCGCAACCGCCGGTCGAAGACGATCCGCGTCAGCGGCAGCCGGCGCGGCGCCGCGCGCGCCGTCAGGCGTGGATCGTCGGTCAGCATGTGTGGTCGAGCCGACGCCGACTGCATCCACCTCGGCCCGCGTACCGTGCACGGCAGCCACCGCGGCGGCCCCGGTAATCGGCGTCCGGACTCCCGGCTGCGACGCGATCCGCCCGTCGAGGCTCGTCGCAATCTTCATCGTGACGAACGGACGCCCGCTCGCCGCCCACGTCAGGAAGGCCTCGTTCAGCCGGGCGGCCTCCGCGCGCCGCACGCCGACGTCCACCTGAATCCCGCGCTGCCTGAGCCAGGCGATACCCGCTCCATTGACCTTGGGACTCGGATCGCCGACGGCAACCACGACCCGTTGGACGCCAGCCTCGGCAATGCGCACCACGCACGGCCCGGTGCGGCCCTGGTGCGCGCACGGCTCCAGCGTGCAGTACAGACGTCGCGCCGCGCGCCAGCGCGCCTGCCTCGTCGAGCGCGCAGACCTCCGCAGTGCGCCGCGCCGGCCCGCGCGTGGAATCCGCTGCCTGACGACTTCGCCGGCGTCAGACACCACGACCGCGCCCACCATCGGGTTCGGGCTGGTCCGCCCCCGGCCCTGCCGGGCCAGCGCGAGCGCCCGATCCATATGGAGGCCGTCGACACCGTCGCGCCAGACCGCTACCATGACTTCGTGAACAGTGCCTCGACGTATGCGTCGGGTGCGAACGGGAGCAAATCTTCGAGCGCCTCGCCAACGCCGACATAGCGGATCGGCAAGCCGAGCTCGCAGGCGATCGCCACCGCGATGCCGCCCTTGGCGGTGCCGTCGATCTTGGTCAGGACGATCCCGGTCACACCGGCACGGTCGTAGAACTTCCGTGCCTGGACCAAGCCGTTCTGCCCCACCGTGGCGTCAAGCGCGAGCAGCACCTCGTGCGGCGCTCCCGCAACTGCCCGCGACGCCACCCGCCGTATCTTTTCGAGCTCAGCCATGAGGTCGGTGCGCGTGTGCAACCTGCCGGCCGTATCGACGAGCACAACGTCCCGTCCGCGGGCGCGCGCCGCTTCGATCGCGTCGAAGACGATAGCCGCCGGGTCCGTGCCGGGCCGCGCCTGCACCAGATCCGCCGCCGCGCGATCGCGCCCAGACCGCCAGCTGATCGATGGCCGCGGCGCGAAAGGTATCCGCGGCGCAGATGAGCGGGCGACTGCCTTCGCGGTGCAGCAGACCGGCCAGCTTGCCGACCGTGGTCGTTTTCCCGGTCCCGTTGACGCCGACGACCAGGACCACCCGCGGCGCGGCTGCGACGGGCGCCGTCGCTGGCGGGCAGTACAGGATCTCGAGCATTTCGCGCTTTACCAGGGCGCGCAAGCTCGGCGCGCCGCGGGAAGCACCCGCGGCGCGGATGCCGCCCATGATGCGCTCTGCCGCCGTGACCCCTACGTCCGCTTCGAGCAGTGCCTCCTCGATCGCGTCAGCCGTCTCGAGCGTCGCGGCCGCTGCGCGCGCCGCGCGGTCTGCGCCGCCGGATATCTGATCGAGACGCTTGCCCAGCCGCGCGGCGGTACGCGCAAGGACCGCCCCCAGGCGGTCGCTCAACCCTGGCGGCACGGCCCGCCCACCAGACACGTCATTCCACTTCCACCTCCGACCGCTGGCGGCGCAGCATCAACTCCTCCACAGCTACGCGCGGCGTCTTCTGCCCGGCGAGCACGTCGGCCATCTGCGCCGTTATCGGCAGCTCGACACCGTGGCGACCACCGAGCGCCAACGCGGCCTCGGTTGTGCGGACCCCCTCGGCCACCGCCCGCATCTTGCCGAGAATTTCCTCCAGCGGTCGCCCCTTGCCGAGTTCAATCCCGACCGAGCGGTTGCGGCTGAGCTGACCGGTACAGGTCAGCACGAGATCGCCCAGACCGCTGAGTCCGGCCAGCGTCTCCCGCTGCCCTCCCAGTGCCGAAGCGAGCCGGGAAATCTCCGCCAGACCGCGGGTGATCAACGCCGACGGGCAGTTGTCGCCGAGCCCGAGCGACTCCACCGCGCCGGCCGCGATCGCGATGACGTTCTTCATCGCGCCGCCAATCTCGACACCCACCAGATCCTGAGTTGCGTACAGTCGAAAATAGCCCGACCGGAATTCCCGCTGCACCGCCGCAACCGTTGCCTCGCAGTTGCCGGCCACCGCAACGGCGGTCGGCGCGCCACGCGCCAACTCGGCCGCGAAGCTCGGTCCCGACAACACGGCAATCGGCCGGTCGCTGCCCAACTCGTCCTCGATAACCTCCGAAACGCGCAGGAGCGTCTCGACCTCCAGCCCCTTGGTAGCGCTGACAACTGTCGCTTCGGGCGGCAGCAACCCGCGAGCCCGCCGGATCACATCGCGAGTGCCGTGCGACGGGATCGCGGACACGACGCATGCCGCAGCATGCAGCGCCCGCCCAGATCGGTTGTTGGATGCAACGTTGCCGGCATCTCGACGCCGGGCAGGTAGGTGCGGTTCTCGCGGGCCGCCGCCATCTCCGCGACCAGCGCCCCATCCCTGGCCCACAACGTCACGTCCCGGCCCAGGCGCGCGAGGTGGACGGCCAGCGCGGTCCCCCACGCGCCGCCTCCCAGCACGGCAATGCGTTGCATCGACACGTCTGCCATCTCGAAATTCAGGCCCGCTGCCGGATGCGGCGCTCGCGGCCCGCTTGCAAGCGCACCATGTTGGCTCGATGGCGGTACAGCACAAGAGCCGCCACCGCGACCGCGCACATAACCACGGCGTGCGGCTCCCCGTTGAAGAAGACCGCGGCGGACAGGACGACAGCCCCCACCATCGATCCCAGCGACACGTAGCGCGTCAACCAGACGACACCGGTGAACGCGAAAACCGCCAGCGCCGTCGCCTCCGGCGCGAGGACGCAGAACACGACCGCACGCCGTCGCCACACCCTTGCCGCCCCGAAACCCCAGCCAGACCGGAAAGACATGCCCGACCACGGCCGCGCCGGCGACGGCGGCCATGACCGCCTCCGACGCGCCCACTCCCCGGGCCAGCAGCACCGCCGCGCACCCCTTGCCGACGTCGAGCAACATCACGCTCACCGCCACCGGCATGCTTGCCGCCCGCAGCACGTTGGCCGCGCCGACGTTGCCGCTGCCGACGCGCCGCACGTCTGTTCCGCCCATCCTCCTGGTGAGCAGCAGCGCGAACGGTATCGCGCCGACGAGATACCCGCTGAGCACGAGAAGCGCGTCCATCCGTCTCCCAGTATGCCTCAAGCGCCCGCGCCGGATGCCCTGCCGCCGGCCAGCGGCATCTCCATCACGACACGGTATGCGGGTCCCGCCGGTGCGAGCCGGCTTGCGATCAGCGCTGCACGGTCGACACCCCAAGCCACCGGCTGAAGATCGACAGCCGCAACCGCATCCACCAGGACGGCACGCACGCCGCCGCCCGCACGGCGCACGCGCCCGACCGTCAGGTGCGGGCGATACGGCTGCCGCTCCGGCCGGTAGCCGAGCGGTGCGAGTCGGCCGACGACCTCTTCACGAAGCGCGCCAAGCGCCGGCGCACCCGCGTGCAGGCCGACCCAGATGACGCGCGGCGGCCCCTGCGGCGGAAAGGCGCCGAATGAGCCGAGCGCGATTCGAAAGCCTGGCAGCGGGCTGGCCGGCGCGAGCGCCGCGGCAACCGCCGTCGCGGCGCCGGCCTCGACCTCTCCGAGAAACTGGAGCGTAAGGTGCAGATTCCCTGTCTCGACCCACTTGACGGCCGCAGCCGCGAGACCCGGATGCCGCCGCAGCGACGCGACGGCCGTGGCGACCGCGGCCCGGGCGGACGGGTCGAGAGAGACCGCGACGAACAGTCGCATCGCTAGTCCAGTAACGCGCGGCGCAGCAGATCGAGCGCCGCCTGCGACGCCTGGAACTTCACGCGGTCCCGCTCGCCGGGCAGCTTCAGGTGACGCACACGCACCCGCTCGCCGGGCCCGGCGAGTGCAACGTACACGGTGCCAACCGGCTTCTCGGGTGAGCCGCCACCCGGCCCCGCGATACCGGTGACGCCCAGGCCGTAGTCCGTGCCGGCCAGCTTGCGGCAGCCCTGTGCCAGCGCCCTCGCCACGGGCTCGCTGACCGCCCCGTGAACTTCGATCATCCGCGATCCACGCCGAGTTGCGCCGTCTTGGCCGCGTTGTCGTACGCCACCCAGCCGCCGTGGACGTAGGCCGAACTGCCGGGAACATCCGTGAGCCGCGAGGCGATCAGTCCTCCGGTGCACGACTCGGCAACCGCGACGCGCTGCCCGCGCGCGCGCAACAGACGTCCGACGACCTCCTCGAGAGAGGCGCCGTCACTGCTCACCAGATCCCGGCCGAGCACCGCTTCCAGCTCACCGGTCGCCGCATCCAGCGCGCGCGCTGCATCCTCCGGCGTGGCGGCGCGCGCCGCGAGATGCAGCTCGATCTGGCCGAGCGACGCCAGGATGCTCGTCGCAATCGGGACCGGGGCCGACCGCCAGCGCGAATAGACAGGCGACGCCGCCTCGTCCACGTAGGACTCCGTGCGGCCGGTCACGTGCACTACGCGCCGGAAGATGCCCCGCCGGCCGGCAGCCGGTGCAAGCCTGCTCCGGGCGGCCGCATCGAACATGCCGTGCAGCTCCCGCGGCGGGCCGGGCAGGACCACGCATACGACCTCCGGCCGCTCGATCCAGAGGCCCGGAGCAGTGCCGTTCGGGTTGGGCAGCACGGCAGCGCCCTTGGGAATGAGCGCCTGCCGGCGGTTGGTAGCCGGCATCGGAAGCCCGCGGGCCGCGAATCGCGAGCGAATGGCGGCCGCAACCTCTGCGTCCTCTTCCAGCGGCAATCCGAGCGCCGCTGCCACGGCCTCGCGGGTAACGTCGTCCTCCGTCGGGCCGAGTCCGCCCGTGATGACCACGATGTCCGCCTTTGGAATCGCCAGCAGCAGTGCCGCACCTATGTCGGCGGGGTCGTCGCCAATCACCAGCTTGCAGCGCACAGACACGCCCAGCTCGTTGAGCCGCTGCGTCAGGAACAGCGAATTGGTATCCAGCCGATCCGGCGTGAGCAACTCCGAGCCAACCGCGATGATGACGGCCCGCCGCAGCTGGTCGCGAGCCATCAGGACACCGTGAGGCCAGGCAGGACCCACGCCAGGAGGCGCAACGCGGCGTGGGCGTACACGGCGGCGGCGAGATCGTCGGCCATTACGCCCCAGCCGGCCCCGAGGCGCTCGGTCCGGCGCACCGGAAACGGCTTGAAGACATCGAACAACCGGAACAGCGCGAATCCCGCAAGCGCGCCGGTCCACGTCACGGGCACCCAGAGCAGGGTCAGCAGCATACCCGCCACCTCATCAATGACGATTGTGCCGGGATCGGTCCGCCCGAGTGCCGCTCCGCGGCAGAAGATGCCCAGACACCGGCGACAACCACCGCAACGAACAGTCCCAACTGGGTCCATTGATCGCCGCCCAGCCTGACAAGGCCGTACAGAGCGAGGCCGGCCAGCGACCCGGCCGTGCCCGGGGCGACCGGGACGTAACCGATCCAGCCACAGGTTGCCAGGAGCACGCCAGGGTGCAGCGCGCCTCCCCGACCGTCAACCGACCCGTGCGGTGGGGTATCGGACATCTAGCTTGATGAAGAATGACGGGACGGGAATGACCGAACTCGGCGCGGCGGATGCGACGCCAAGCGCTGTAATCGTTGCGATACGCCGCGGAGTATACCGTATCGTTACGCAGGTAGCAGGACACGCCGCGGCATGGACCGCGCGCCAGCGGTGCCCCCGTGACCAGACCGCTCATCGAATCGGCGCCGAATGTGAGCGAAGGGCGCCGCCGACAGATCATCGACCGGCTCGTCGAGGCTGCCGCCGGAGCGCCGGGATGCCGCCTGCTCGACTGGTCGTCCGACCCGTTCCACAATCGCACCGTGTTGACGCTGGCGGGCGACGCTCCGGGTGTGACCGCCGCGTTGCTCGCGGTCTATGAGGTGGCGGCAGCCACCATCGACATCCGGCGGCACCACGGCGTGCATCCCAGGGTCGGCGCGGTCGACGTCGTGCCGCTGGTGCCGCTGGCGGGCATCTCGAGCGGCGCATGCGTGGCGCTCGCCCGCGCGCTGGGGCGCCTTGTCGCGGAACGTTTCGGCGTGCCCGTTTTCCTGTACGAAGACGCCGCCACGCGCCCGGAGCGGCGCGCCCTGGAGAATATCCGGCGCGGACAACTCGCGGGCCTCACCCGCCGCATGAATCAGCCGCAATGGCGTCCGGATTTCGGTCCGCGCACACCTCACCCGGCCGCAGGCGTTTCGGTCATCGGCGCGCGATCGATCCTCATCGCGTTCAACGTCAACCTCGCGACGGACGACTTGACCGTCGCCCGGGAAATTGCCCGGACTGTGCGGGCAAGCGGAGGTGGTCTCCCCCACGTAAAGGCTATCGGCGTGCAACTTGGCGGCGGCCGGGTGCAGGTAGCGATGAACCTCACGAACTACTGCCAGACGCCCCTGCAGCGCGCATTCGACGCGGTCAGACTGGAAGCCGCGCGCCGCGGCGTCGCCGTTGCCGGCAGCGAACTGGTCGGCCTCATACCCGCCGACGCGCTGGACGCCGCCGGCGCCCACCACCTGCAACTCGAAGATTTCGGGCCGGAACGACTGCTGGAAACGCACCTGGGCGGTCCGCTCGCAACACCCGGGGCGCCCTGGGAGTCCTAGGAGTCCTTGGCGTCGAGCAACCCCCGCAGTTCGGTCATGAATTCGCCGACGTCACGGAAATGCCGGTATACCGACGCAAACCGCACGTAGGCCACCTTGTCTAGCCGTTTCAACTCCTCCATGACCAGGCTCCCGACCTCGGCCGCCGACATCTCCTTCTCGGATCTGTCCTGAAGATTGGCCTCAACGCGATTGGCGACCGCCTCGAGCGCCGACACGCTCACGGGCCGCTTCTCGCACGCCCTGAGCATTCCCGCGATCAGCTTCTGGCGGTTGAACGGCTCGCGAGAACCATCTTTCTTGACCACCATATACGGGATATCTTCCATCCGCTCGTAGCTCGTGAAGCGGCGGCCGCACGCCAGGCACTCTCGCCGGCGGCGGATCACGTCACCTTCCTTGCTCTCGCGCGAGTCGACCACCCGATCTTCAAGGTGGCTGCAGAAGGGGCACTTCACGACAGGCTCCGATCCTCCGAACGCGCCGGCAGGTCCATCGCGCCGCCGGGCTGAGGGACCGCCGCGCTGCTTGCCAGACCGCGCATATTGGCGAATTGCAGGCCGTCCTGCGCCATGAACACCAGGCCCAGCACCGTCACCGGCCCGAACGACAACAGGTGCAGCACCAGGCCTGCACCAACTGCTTGATCGTCGGTCGCGGCGTACAGCACCGTGGCGCCGAGCTGATACGCGGCATGGTAGCCGCCCACGCCTGCCGGCGTCGGCACGGCCACGCCCACGACGACCAGTCCCATCAGGACTATCGCGCCGCCGGCATCGACATCGATGCCGAATGCCCGCGTGACATACCACATGCTCATGGCCGTGGCGCCCCACAGCCGAACGACCAGAGCACCGCGACCGCCAGCGACCGTGGCTGGCAGGCCGCCGCCGCCCCCTCGAGGAAACGCCCCACCTGCCCCGCCAGCCGGCGCGCCACGCCGGAACGAGCCCAGCTCGCAAGCCACAGCGCCAGACGGCCCGCCCGCCGCGGGTCGGCCGCCAGGACGAACGCCAGCAAGAGCGTCCCCGTACCGGCGAGACCGGCAATCGCGGCGCCCGTGCGCATCGTGGCCAGCAGCGCCGAACCGGCCGCCGAGTGCTGGGGACCGCTCAGTGCGACGATACCGGCGAATATCAGACAGATGACGAGCAGATCGAGCAGCCGCTCCACCACGATCGTCGCAAAGACCGCGGCGCCGCTCAGGCCCTCGCTCCGCGCCAGGACGAACGGCCGCACGACCTCTCCGACGCGACCCGGGACAAGGGAGTTCACCGCGAAGCCGATGATGGTAGCGCGCAGCGCCGGGCGGAACCGGGTCCACGCGATCGGCCGGAGCAGATTGCGCCAGCGCTCGACACGCACCAGGTACACCACGATCGTGCACAGCACGCCGCCGGCCAACAGGTCGCGGCGGGCGCCCAGCAGCTCCGTCCATACCCGCTCCAGGCTGGCGTTGCGCAGAAAGAACGCCATCAAGCCGGCGGCAAGCAGCGTAATAACGGCGGTGCGGACGGGGCGCTTCATCAGGTGGCGGGCGCGGCGGGCGCCAACCACTGTACTACGGTAACCGCGGGACCGCCGCGGCCGTCGAATTCCCCGGCGCGGCGCTTGCAGCAACAACGGCTAACCGATAAGCTAAGGTCCTTCCGCTGAGGTCGCCCATGTCCGCAACGTCTCCCGTCTTCACCACTGCCCTCGAGGGTGCCAGCGTGCACCGGCGCGGCAAGGTCCGCGACATGTACGAGTTGGGCGACCACCTGCTGATGGTGGCTACCGACCGTATCTCGGCGTACGACGTCGTTCTCGACTCGCTCATCCCGGACAAGGGCGCAGTGCTGACCCGGTTGTCGGCCTTCTGGTTCAACCGCACGCGCGACATCGTGCCGAATCACATGGTCTCCACCGATCCGGGGACGTACCCGGTTGCGGTGCAAGCGGACGCCGGCATCTTGGCCGGCCGCTCGATGTTGGTCAGGCGCACGCGGCCGGTGCCTGTCGAATGCGTCGCGCGAGGCTACCTGGCCGGTTCCGGCTGGCGCGAGTACCGCGAGACCGGCCGCGTCTGCGGCGTGGAGCTGCCGGCCGGCCTGCGCGAGTCCGACCGTCTGCCGCGGCCGATCTTCACGCCCGCGACGAAGGCGGAGAGCGGACACGACATCAACATCAGCGAAGAGGAGGCCGGGCGCATCGTCGGTGCGGAGCTCGTTGCGCGCCTGCGGGACCTGACCCTCGAGCTCTATTCTCACGGAGCCGCGCACGCGGAGGAGCGCGGCATCATCGTCGCCGACACGAAGTTCGAGTTCGGCCTCGCCCCGGACGGCGCCGCTGGCGAGATTGTGCTGATCGACGAAGCGCTGACCCCGGATTCGTCGCGGTTCTGGCCCAAGGATCGCTACGCGCCGGGGCGGGGACAGTCCAGCTTCGACAAGCAGTACGTCCGCGACTACCTCGACGAAATCCAGTGGAACCGGCAGCCGCCGGCGCCGGCGCTGCCGCCGGACATAGTGGAGCGGACGCGCAACAAGTATCGGGAAGCATATCGCCTGTTGACCGGCACCGCGCTCGACTGATGTGCCGTCATAGGTCCGAGGGCACTTGTCCGACCGCCCTGGGACGGCGGGCAGGCTGAAGGAGCAGATCGGTGAGGGAAAAGCTGGACCGGTTGATCGACGAAATGCTGGCCAAGGGCGTCCACTACACCGATGCGCGCCAGGCTATCGAACGCCGCTTCATCAGCCGGGCGTTGGCCCGGTCGAACGGGAACGTGGGCCGCGCGGCGGCGCTGCTCGGCATGCATCGCAACACGCTCAGCCCGCAAGATGGAATCCTACCGGCTCAAACGCACCGCCTGACGGTCCGGCCGGTCGCACGTCTTGACCCTCCGCTGCGATCCGCTATAATTGGCAGTCGAGCTATGTGACTGCTAGCAGAGTTTGGTGAGCAGGACACCCTCTACTCCTGCATCCAACGGTTCATCAACGACTCGAAAGGAGCATGACGTTCATGGCTGTAAAGGTTCGCCCGCTTCACGATCGGCTTATCGTCGAGCGCATCGAAGAGACGGAACAGAAGGTCGGCGGCATCATCATCCCGGACACGGCGAAGGAGAAGCCGCAGCAGGGAAAGGTGGTAGCGGTCGGCAAGGGAAAGCTCAAGGACGACGGCACCGTGACGCCGCTTGACGTGGCAGCCGGCGACAAGGTGCTGTTCGGCAAGTACTCGGGTCAGGAGATCAAGCTCGACGGCGACGAGTACCTGATCATGCGCGAGGACGAGATCCTCGGCGTCCTGGAATCCGATTAGTTTCAGTGATGGGAGTTTGAGGAATGGCAAAGCAGATTGTTTACGGCGACAACGCACGGCGGAAGATCATCGAAGGCGTGAACCAGCTCGCGGACGCCGTCAAGGTGACGCTCGGACCGAAGGGTCGCAACGTCGTGCTGGACAAGAAGTTCGGCTCGCCGACCATCACGAAGGACGGCGTGACGGTGGCCAAGGAGATCGAACTCAAGGATCCGCTCGAGAACATGGGCGCCCAGATGGTCCGGGAGGTCGCGAGCAAGACTTCTGACATCGCCGGTGACGGCACCACCACCGCCACGGTCCTGGCGCAGGCCATCTATCGCGAGGGGGCCAAGAACGTGGTCGCCGGCGCGAACCCGATGGAAATCAAGCGCGGCATCGAGCGCGCGGTCGAACGGTCGTCGACGAGCTGCGGTCCATGTCGACACCCGTCAGCGGCAACATGATCGCCAGGTCGGCACCATCTCCGCGAACAACGACGAGGACGATCGGCACGATCATCGCCCAGGCGATGGACAAGGTCGGCAAGGACGGCGTCATCACGGTCGAGGAGGCGCGGACGCTCGAGAACCTCGCTGGAGGTGGTCGAGGGGATGCAGTTCGACCGCGGCTACCTCTCGCCCTACTTCGTCACGGACCCGGAGCGCATGGAGGTCGTGCTCGAGAATCCGATCATCCTGATCACGAGAAGAAGATCAGCTCGATGAAGGATCTCTGCCGCTGCTGGAGCAGGTGGCCCGCCTGAGCCGCCCGCTGCTGATCGTGGCCGAGGACATCGAGGGTGAGGCGCTCGCCACGCTCGTCGTCAACAAGCTGCGCGGCACCCTGCAGGGCGCGGCCGTCAAGGCGCCGGGCTTCGGCGACCGCCGCAAGGCGATGCTCGAGGACATCGCGATCCTGACGAACGGCAAGGCCATCACGGAGGACCTCGGGCTCAAGCTCGAGAACATCCGCGTCGAGGACCTCGGCAAGGCCAAGAAGGTGACGATCGACAAGGACAACACGACGATCGTCGAGGCGACGGGACCCACGGCGGCCATCGAGGGCCGCGTCAAGCAGATTCGCGCGCAGATCGAGGACACGACCTCCGACTACGACCGCGAGAAGCTGCAGGAGCGGCTCGCGAAGCTGGTGGGCGGCGTGGCGTGATCAAGGTCGGCGCGGCCACCGAGACCGAGATGAAGGAGAAGAAGGCGCGCGTCGAGGACGCCATGCACGCCACGAAGGCGGCGGTCGAGGAAGGCATCGTGCCGGGTGGCGGCGTGGCGCTGCTGCGGGGATCCGAGGCGCTCGACTCGCTCGAAGTCGCCGGCGACCAGCGGATCGGCGTCAACATCATCCGGCGCGCGCCTCGAGGAGCCGATGCGGTGGATCTCGCAGAACGCCGGGCTACGAGGGCTCGATCGTCGTGCAGAAGGTGCGCGAGGCCGCCAACAGGAACGAGGGCTTCAACGCCCAGGCCGAGCGGTACGAGAACCTCGTCGAGGCGGCGTCATCGATCCGACCAAGGTGGTGCGCACCGCGCTGCAGAACTCGGGCTCGATCGCGTCGCTGCTGCTGACGACCGAGGCGCTGGTCGCGGAGATCCCGAAGGAGAAGCCGGAGGCCGCGCCGGGCGGCGGCCACCCCCCGGAATGGGCGGCATGTACTAGTCGTTACTTGGGGCTGCGCGGCTTCATCAACTTGGGGCTGCGCCCCAAACCCCCGGCAGGCCTACGGGACCCCATAGCCCGCGCCGCGCCTGCCGGGCCGCTCCGTGCGCGGCTTGGGGACGACGACTTCAGTGCTCGTCGTCCCCCTTCTATTCCATCCGTTGGGCAGTACGGCCCTCATTCACACACATACCCATAGGGGATGCTGCGTTGGCAGCCCGGCGCCGTACCGGTCTCAGTGCGACGCGGGGTTTCGCCGCGGACCTTCAGCGCAGGTTGAGTCGAGGGCGAGGTTGACGAGGATTGCGACCGGCTCGCCGAAACGCGTGCCGGCTGGAAGAGCCACTGCCGGGCCGCCTTGATCGCCTCCTCGTCGAGCCCGAAGACCGGATCGAGAGAGCGCGTAATCCGCACCTCCCCGACCGTCCCGTCCTGCAGCACCACCAGCTCCATGTAGACCGTGCCGGTAATCTTTGCGCGCAGCGCCTCGGCGGTGTACTGCGGCCTCACCTCGCGGAGCAGGCGCGGATTCACGATGCCGGCGCCCGGACGGTACACCCCACCGCCGACGCCGCCGCCGGTGCCAGGACCCAGGCCGGAGCCCGTACCCGGCCCGCTACCGGCGCCTTCACCGCTGCCGCCGCCGCCGCCGGAGCCGCTGCCCTGCGCGCCGCTGTCGACGGTAGCCAACGCGTCCAGCACGCCGCTGCGCATCCGGTCGGCGGACGCCATCGATACCGCCGGGATATTCATCTGCTGCGCACTGAGGGTTTCCGGCTCGATTTCTTCCTCCACGACAGGCGCCTCGTCCGGGACCGGCACGCTCAGCGGGGTTTCGTCGGCGCCCGGCAGCTCGACGAGTTGCGGCAGCTCGAGCGACTCGTTGCCGCCGCCGCCGCCGCCGCCGCCCGGACCCTCTTCGGGCAACCAGACAATGCTGTAGCTGTCGCGCGCTGGGACGATCAACTGATAAACCGGCTCAGGTGTCAGACTGATGATGAGGGCCAGCAGCAGGCCGCCGACGACGTGCCCGGCCAGGGAGGCGGCAAGCGAGCGCCCCATCCGCTCCTCGCTGGCGCCGAGCAGGAATGACACATCGCGCGGACCGAAGGTAGCGGGCCGAATCGACAGCGAGACGGCTTGCCGCTCGGGTTCCCGGTTGGGAGTAGCCCCACGCGCAGCCGGATCGCGACGCGACAGGAACGGAATTCGAACGAAGTTAAAGCTCATGGCGCCGGCAGACGCCGGGCGCGCGCCGCACCGTGCAGCGCGCTGCCGCCCAGCGCGTCAGACGCGTCCGGTCCAGGCTCCAATGGCCGCGTTTCCGCCGCCGTAGGAATGGAGCACGGTAAGCGCGTCGGCTGCGAGCGGTTCGCTCTCAACACCAACCAGCACACCGCCCCGGGCGGTGAGCGTCTCGTAAATATAGCCGTCGTGGGCTTGGAAGCCGGCTCTCGACACCGTCGCCGCAATGCCGGTCCTGCCGAGGCCCTCGTCATCCCCCTGCAGGGCGCCGACCAGCGAGCCCTGGGCGATTGTCGCGCCTAGACCGCTTACCTCGACGGAGGTTGCAGATCCCCCGAGCGCGCGCTCGACCAGCGCGGCGGCATCGTCCGAGTGCCGGGCGATAACGGACAGCTCCGTCGGGCCGAAACCGTGACGCTTGAGGGCGTCGAGTCCGCGCTCAGCCCACGCCGTGTCCTGAAAAACCCCAACCGTAAAGCAGCTTCTATCCTCACTCTGTGCCATATACGAACCTTTCACCAGCCTATCAGCATGAAGTGTACACCAGACCCGGCAGCAGCCGACCGCCCCTCACAGCACCAGTCTTACGTTGCCGACGCGGCGCGTGACGCGCATGCGATCCAGATAGCCAAGCAGCGGGAGCGCGTATTTGCGCGAAACGCCGAAGCGCTCCTTGAACATGCCGATGTCAATCCGCGCAGGTCCATCCGCGGCGGGCGTCAACCGCCCCACCTCCACCGCGAGACGGTCCAGGCGCTCCTTGTGGAAGAGCAGCCCCTCCACCCTCACGAGGGTTCCGTCGCGAACCAGCAACTCGAGCATCCGATCGACCAACGCCGGTTGCGCGCCCACCGTAGCCGCCGCCTGTCCGCTATCCGGCGGGGCCAGACCCGCAGCGCCGTAGAGATCCTCCAACCGTTCCCGGACCCGCACCTCGTCCGCCGACAGCACGATGCGGTGGTCTGCCAGCGCGAGATGGTCGGTCGCAACGATCCTGCCGTCCGCCACCAGCCCGGCGACGACATGATCGATCACGGCCGCTGCCGCGCGGCGGCTCAGGCGCTCCCGCGCCTCCTCCCGCTGCAGACCCGCGGCGAGCGGCTGTGCTGCGTGAAATTGCGCGACGAGTGCGAGCAGTTCCTCGCGCGTGACGCGCAAGTCAGCCGGCGCGACCAGCCGGTTGCCGACGGCAACGACACCCTGCTCGGCCTCCAGCGCAGCAGCCGTCCGGTCGAGCGACGCAGCCGTGACCCCCAGCCGCCGGGCCAGCGCCTCACGCGCGACTCCCCGGCCACGACCTTCTTCCACCATGACCAACAGGCTCTCAGCGTCGCCGCCCGCGCCGGCAAGGCGCCGCAGCCGGGCGACACCGCGCGGAGAGCGGAAGCGCCCGCGCGGCGGCAACGGGTCCAACACCTGTCCACCGGCGATGGTCACCGGCGGCGAGTACGCCCGCAGGACGAACCGATCCCCCCGCGTCAGCGCCAGCGGCGCTTCGACCCGCACGCGGGCGAACGCGCCGTCCCCCGGCTCGAGCGCGGTCAGAAAGGCCGGTTCCTCCCCGCCATCCCCCGCCCCTGTTGGCGCGGAGAACGCAATCCGGGCCATCGCCTCCGCGGTGCCGTGGTGGCAGCGCACGCGGGCGCCGTGCCGCAGCGCCGGAGCATCCGGCAGCAGGGTGACGGACGCGTCGAACCGGCGCGTCGTGTCGAAGCCGCCGCGCGCCACCACCGCGTCGCCGCGGCGGAGCTCGTCCGCATCCATGCCGTGCAGGTTCACCGCCACCCGCCGCCCGGCTCCCGCAGTCGCCCTTGCCTGGCCATGCACCTGTACGCCGCGCACCCTCACCCGCCGGCCGGCCGGCAACACCTCCAGCTCCATGTCGGCGCGAATCTCCCCCGACACCAGCGTACCGGTGACGACGGTGCCGACCCCGCGGACCGCGAACGCCCTATCCACCGGCAGGCGCACCGGCTTGTCGGCCGCGCGCGGCGGCGCCGCCGCCACCGCGGCGAGGGCGGCCCGCAGCTCTTCCAGGCCGGCTCCCGTCTTGGCCGACACCGGGACGATCGGCGCGTCCTCCAGCCCCGACCCGCCGAGCAGTTCCTGCGTTTCCAGCCGTACGAGCTCCAGCATCTCGGCATCGACCAGATCGCACTTGGTCAAGGCCACCAAACCTCTGTCGACGTTCAGGAGCCGGCAGATATCGAAGTGCTCGCGAGTCTGCGGCATCACCGACTCGTCCGCCGCCACCACCAGCAGCACGGCGTCTATGCCGCTCGCGCCGGCAATCATGTTGCGCACGAAACGCTCATGGCCCGGCACGTCCACGAAGGCAATGGTGTTATCACCCTGCCGGTAATGCGCGAATCCGAGATCAATGGTGATACCGCGCTCCTTCTCCTCCTGCAGGCGGTCGGGATCGATACCGGTCAGGGCACGCACCAGGGCGCTCTTGCCGTGGTCGACATGCCCCGCCGTGCCGATGACAACGTCCCTCATATCTCTCTGGATCTCCGCCGCGGCAGGCCGTCAGCTCCGGCGCGGCCGCGCGCGCTCCGGCCGCCGGTCAACCGCTCCGCCCGCCTTGCGGCCGCTCCGCCGGCGCGGCCGGTCGGGCCGGCCTTCGAGCGCGCGAACATGGTCGAGGATTTCGACCAGGGCCAGATCGAGCTGCCGGCGTTCGCCGTCCACTCTGACAAGCTGGACCCGCACCGGATCGCCGAGACGGTACACCTTCTTCGTATTCTCTCCGCGCAGCGTGTGCTGCCCCTCCACGTACCGGTAGTAGTCGTCCGCCATGCTCGAAATGTGGACCAGGCCCTCGACGAAGTGCTCGGTCAACTCCACGAACAACCCAAAGGCGCCGTCACCCCGATGACATTGCCGTTGAACTCGTCGCCGACCTTCTGGACCATGAACCGCACCTTCTTCCACTGGACGATCTCCCGCTCCGCCTCCTCCGCACGCCGTTCCAGGGCCGACGTCCGGCGCGCAAGCTCCGGCAGATCCTCCCGCCATCGCTCCCGCCGCTCGGTGTCGGGTGCATCCGCCCGCAATTCCCGGAGGGCGCGGTGCACGACCAGATCGGGATAGCGGCGGATTGGCGACGTGAAGTGGGCGTAGGCCGGCGCAGCCAGCCCGAAATGTCCCAGGTTGGCCGGGTCGTAGCGCGCCTGCTGCATCGTCCTCAGCATCAGGAATGCGAGCGGCCGCTCCTCCGGCTTGCCGTGCACACGCCGCAAGAGCCGCTGAAAATGCCCCGGTGTCACGCGCTCGGCCGGCACGCCGAGGCTGAAACCGAGCGACGCGGCGAATGCCTCGAACTCTGCGACTTTTGTCGGATCGGGTGCTTCGTGCACGCGAAACAGCGCCGGCATGCGGTGTTTCTCGAGATGGTCCGCGACGGTCTCGTTGGCGACCAGCATGAATTCCTCAATCAAGCGGTGCGCCAGGTTCCGCTCCGTGGCTACGATCGCTCACGCGGCCCTGGTCGTCCATCAGAAACTCGGCTTCGGGAAGGTCGAAATCGACCGAGCCACGTGCCCGCCGCCGGCCGTTCAGCGCCTCGAACAGCTCGGCCATCAATTCGAAGCGTGGAACCAACCGTCCGTACTTCTTGCGCGCGGCAGCATCCTTGCCGGTGAGGATGGCGTTGACCTCGGTGTACGTCATGCGGGCGTCGCTATGGATCACGCCATCGTGCAGCTCGTAGCGCCGCACTGCGCCGTTCCCGTCAATTTCCATCAGACACGACTGCACGAGCCGGTCGACCTGCGGCCTGAGGCTGCACAGGCCGGTCGCGAGCGCCTCCGGAAACATGTGAATGGCGCGGTCTGGAAAATAGACGGAGGTTCCGCGTTGGAACGCCGCAGCGTCGAGCGCGCTCCCCTCCTGCACGTAGTGGGCGACGTCCGCGATGTGCACCCCCAGCCAGTAGTTCCCGTTCGGCAGCCGTTCGATCGTGACGGCGTCGTCGAAATCCCGGGCCGTGTCACCGTCGATGGTCACCGTCGGCCAGCGCCGGAAATCCTGGCGTCCCTGCCGCTCGCGCGGCCGGACCCGGTTGCCGGCGCGCTCGGCCTCGGCCAGCGCCGCCGGCCCGTGCTCCTCCGGCAGCTGATGCTTGCGGATAATCAGCCGCGTGTCGACGCCCGGCGCTTCGATGTCGCCGAGCACGTCGGTGACGCGGCCAACCGGGTTGCGTGTGGCGGTCGGCCAGCGCGTCAGCTCAATCTCGACCATGTCACCCGGCGCGGCGGTCGCGGCTTCCTGGCGGGGCACATGGACATCCATGACCAGCCGCCGGTCGAACGGCACGACATAGGCCAGCCCGGATTCATCGATATC